ATATATATATATATATATATATATATATATATATATATATATATATATATATATATATATATATATATATATATATAATAATATATATATATATATATATATATATATATAGGGATAATCTTGTTATTTTAAGATAGCATACTAGCATACATTCTTGTTAACCAATGGGAACGCTAGTCGTTTGGGTGGTATTTATGTATAGAGACCACACATTTCAACTACTATTCCACGTATACCAAAAACGTCAAGAAGGATATGAATGAACCATTTGTAAAATGAATACGAGTTTGGTACGAGGTTTAGTAGATGTGCATTATTTTGTATGAAATATGATCGGAAGCTCTTCCAGTCAGCCCTCAAATAAATATTTCAGTGCAAATGAGACCATATTAACATTTGTGGTAGGAATGCTTGTACAGTACTGAACCCGTTTTAGGTTTTTAGGGTTAGACTTTTAGAGGTTAGGTTTTAAAGTTTAGGTGAAACCCAAACCAAACACATTCAGAGATTTGCAATACACTCAGAGCGAATTCAGTTTCCGAGAAGTTGAAATATTCTTTTATTCTTAAAGTAGCCATCTGCCTATTAGAATAGTCCTCCACAAGCCAGTTAAAATCAGTTTAAAATCGGCCTACGACACCCAAAAGTATATTGAAACAGATACCCGAACGAGCATGGTCAGTGAGTAGTCCCAAATGCTTAAGCGTCCTACCCGATGGTTTTAGGTGCAGTGAGCTTACAGTATGTCCTTCACGTGACCTGCAGTGCCGCACGCGTCCGGCTCAGAATGGGCCCAGGTTGACATCTGGGTTTCAGGGGTTTAGGGTTTTGGGTTTATATTTCTACCGAATGGGTATTGCGTGCACTCTTGGTTCTCTGTGAGCGACGCACAAAGGCAGATAAATTCGCCCCTCTCGCGCGCCCTGTCCCAATTACCAAATTAGGGTGTTCGATTGGGGCCCTATCGTCCCGCTTGTGTGCACCTGCCCCTTCTGGAGACGTATAGGACTCCCGCACCTCAGGGTCGTTGTTGGACGGGAAGTACCTACTAGTACCGTTCAATGTAGTGTGGTCGTCTGTGTCAACAGTCTCTGCACAAGCTATTCCGGGTGCTATACTGCTATGCGCGCTGTGTTGTATGGGATCCGTATCGTGGCCACCTGCTGTGTCTGGAGAAACACGTGACTGGCTATCCGCAGGCTCAGAGGGGCGGCACGTGTTTGGGTCGTTGAACGCTTTGGGTACATCTTGTTGCATGGCTTGGGGTGACGGTATACTTTGCTGTAGGAAAGTGGATCAATATATTACTACCAACTTATACCCGAATACTTGGGTATGAACCTGTACCCGTTGGGGTGTATGCAGACAAGCAACCAGTGACCAGTATATATATATATATATAGACCGATTGGATAGTGCCTGCTACGGGTCTCAGGTCGATATAGTACAATCATCGGCTACCCGCATACTTGGGCATTAACCCCAAACCCTAAAACCCAAGCAACTAGTCACCAGTGATATATAAATCGACAGTATATTGCGTTTTATAGTTGTCAGCGTTCACATTGGAGAAACGGCCGTTGTTGCGCACAAACTAATTCACATTACGGGACATTACGGGACGAAAGCGTATCACCCAGCGTGTTGTCGCTGGGGCATGTTGTCGCAAACGAGTCCGCAGTGCATCACTACAACAGAACTAGTTCTCATTTAGTGATCAATTAATTCCAGCAATTAACTCCATGCGGCTCTGACTACCAGCACGTGGATACAATGCCACTAAACCCTAATAGTAAACATACCTTTGCCTAACCCTAATAGCCTTTGTAATTACCCTTGCCTAAACCCTAATAGCTTACGTAAACATACCCTAGACTAACCCAAATAGCCACGTAAACATACCCTTGCCTAAACCCTGATAGCTTACGTAAACATACCCTAAACCAAACCATAATAGCCTCTGTAAACATACCCTTGCCTAAACTCTGATAGCTTACGTAAACATACCCTTGCCTAAACCCTGATAGCTTACGTAAACATACCCTAAACCAAACCATAATAGCCTCTGTAAACATACCCTTGCCTAAACTCTGATAGCTTACGTAAACATACCCTTGCCTAAACCCTAATAGCTTACGTAAACACACCCTAGACTAAATATATATAGCAAACGTAAACATACCCTAGGGTTATGTTTCGTGTTTGTGATCAGTTCGGTACTTTCCTTCCGGCGGCCTCGTCTACGCTGGAACGACAGTTCGCGGATGGAGGACAATGTGCACCCTTTTACCGCTGTACGGGTGCAGTAAGAATATTGTGGGTCAACACCAGTCCGACTAGTACACACAGTATGGTATACTGAATGGTACCACAGGACAGAACGAAGTCTCGGGTATAGGTCAGAGGCTAGGCTTATGTATGGCACAGGACCACCCCACCAGCCTCAAGAGACGGACGGAGATTAGAGGAACAGTGAACAAACAGTATAGAAATAGGTCTC